ACTATCGTCTTTCGACATTTGCAACAAAGGACGCCGATACGCAGCCGATTTTTTTTTCTTCTAGAAAATACACAATGTTGTCATCCCCGCCCACCCACTGCCTCCATTTCCTCCCCAAACAAAACGACGAAAAAAACGGAACAAAATACAGAACAAAAAGACCGGACACCGAAGGTGCAGGACTACTTAATTTATGCTGAAAAGTAAATATTAATCCAGCGCAGTTTGTTTTCTCCTCGCTGGCCCGTTGATCTTAAACACAAGCGCGCTCTCTGGCTCTCTATACAGAAGAAAAGTAATCCATCAGTATCGGCATCGATCAACAATGACTCGTGAATCCGTCCGTATCGCTCCAAAGCAAAATGTGAGTGCGTCCCCCACACTTAGCGATCGTGGTAGATCTACCATTAGGGACACTTAGCTGACCGTATTTTGCCTCCCGCTCCGCTCAGCCAGTCGCTGGTTGCGCCACTACGCATGCGCTATACGGTCAGGCGCTGAGCGTACGAGCGGAACGTCTTAGCGAGCGAAGGGTCACGTGATGAGAGGAGAAACGACCAAAATGGCAGCCTCCTGTGCCGCGAGTCTGCGCTGCTCGGCAAACACGCAAGCACCGACGGCAATTCAAGATGCGCAGAGATCTGTATGCCTCTTCCGAGAAGTCGATGCAGCCAATCCCTTCGAGAGTCCGCGCATGTGGGGTGAAGTTCCCCGAAACGATCTAGAGCTGACACTTGGGAGCATAAATGAGCGTCTCGAGATGCTCCTTTTGTATTTCCGTCAAAGAAACTTCCCGAATGTTCAATAATAAGCGATTTTATGTAACAATAGTAGCAATTTAGTATTCAACAGCAGCCACTCTTCTACCTATTCAGAAAATCTTTTCAGTTTGATTTGCCACATGGCAACGCAATGAACGTGCTACCCCAAGACAGGACGTTTGAAATGCGTTTGAGCTGCCTTGAAGGCTTCGGTTGTAGTTCAGCTCCAAGTGAAGGCGACAAAAAGTTAAAAAAAAAACGCTCATGCGTCAAACAATAAATGAATGTACACTCTGTTAAAACAGAATTTGCTACCTTGCGGCAAGATAAGAACTATGCTTATTTTCTTTAAAAACAACTTTCATGCACCGGGGGCGTCACGATAGGGTTGACAGAACGACGCTTGGCTAAAACAGAAAACGTACCCTGCGGTCCGGTAACGTTGAGTGTTTGAGCGGAACGGGAAACGGAGCGCAAAATCGGTCAGCTAAAAGTCCCTATTAATTCTGGTCAACCTTTTAAAAGTCAAGTACTTTACGTGCCGTGATGTTGTTAGCTGCCATTTGCCGAGGTTTCGTCGAGCTCCGTAGATATATAAATCATACACACACTGCATACGAATATCGACGGCTTCGGTACGACATATTAATAAATAGAAGGTTGCACGTATACGAAATGTGATTTACTTATGTCTCGGCTGATAGGTCTGCCGAAACCTTACTCTCTATCTGTGTGTATGCGTGCGCGTGATGATCACTTGAGCTAACCAACCATGTCATGTTCAACTATCTTCCAGCAGTGTCCTGATTCTAGAATAAAGGTCGGACTTCCCTTCACGTCATTCGAATATTTCGGCTCTGAAACGAAGCAGCCATCTTACCGAGAAATGCCGCTACTAACGTGTAACTAGATCCGACTTGTTTTCTTTTTTTAAGCAGTACAACACGCGCTCATTTCCGCGCGAGACATTTCATCGCTGTAAAAAGAGTCGCACTCTCTCGCCGAATAAATCGACAGAATAGCGAAAGCGTCGGAAAAAAAAACTGCATATGAGGAAGAGGTATACGAGGACGTCGAAGGAGACGCGGAAAACAAGAGACGGAGAGAAACAATTCCCGCGTCCAATCCGAAGAAGGGAACGAAAGCGACACACACAGCACCTCGTCTTAGAGACGAGGCGAGACGCTATTGAATTTACGAGCGGCAGCGCACCTCGCGATCAAACGGAAGAGACACGTGAGATCACGCGCTTTGCATCGTCCGCGTTTTCGACGACGCTATATATACATCGCGTACCGCCAACGCACCCACTCTCGCTCCCGATATGCTCGAGCAGGCAGTTTGAAAAGAACGCGAAACGAAGCAGTAGTATACCGAAAGGAGAATGCACAGACACGCGCATATTCCAACACTTACAGTTTAGAGCGTATATACAGAGACGGCTTCTCTGTAGTATACTTTTGCATGCTGCTCGACGAGAAAAGAAAATTTGGCCCGCGTTTTTCGGGAGCGCGCGCGGTGTAAGGAGCGCCGTAATCACGGGTATTTGCACGAGGAACACGTCCTTTTGATGCATGTGTCGGCGTGTATAGTGATAGTGGTATCGGGAGAGCTCGTTTGTTTTGCCCCGATATCTCGAAGGAGGCGTGGGTGTTCGTCTGAAGCGAACGTGCGCGTTTCTTCGTGTCTTTCGTTCTGATCCGGGGCGTTCTTTTTGTGTTTGTTCGTTTTATCTGTAGCGTGACGCGCGTGCGAAATGCGCAGTACACTCAAGGAGTGAGCAGCAACGACTCGAAAACGAGCCAAGCAGCAGGCGGGCCAATCGGTGTGGAGAACTACTTTATGCTTTCTTTTTTTCTTCTCTCACGAAACATCATACGAGATTCTATAGCGCATATAACTTTTAAATAACAAGCGTGTGCAGTAAATCTCTAATCAGACCTTCTAGCCCATTTGATACCGAGTAGTAGATAGTTAAGTGCATGTCTGGAAATACACCTAGCATATTCAGAGCTGTCATTTTAACACACACGCACACACACATTATATATATGGCGCTTGGGACGTATACGGCGTAGAACTTTAATTAGGACACGTTCATATGTAAATGAAAACGTAGTTACTCTATCGTTGGAAGAACGGTGTGTGTGTTTTTTGTATATGGAAAGCAGCAAAAAGAGTATGGTTGGGGGAGGACTTGAAAAAATGATATTACAGTGGATGGCCAACATTATTTTATATCAGACAGCAATGTCCTGTAGTAGCCATAACTTCTTTAGCCATGATTACCCATAAGGGAGGTACCGATAGAGGTGAAAATAAAAATGTAAACCTCAAGATTGTGTCTACGGGCTGTTATTCCTGTCCTCGGCCCCGTGAAAGGTCAGATGTAGGAGAGAGACGGATAGGAGGCACGGATGGTGGAATAGTGCAATATTGTGATGCTATATAGTGTATACCGTATACGATGCCGAATGCGTAGCATGTTCACAGTGAATGCATTACATGCCAACGAACAATGCGCACCACGACCTTTGCGGTAGTTATTCTCCCTTGTCGAAGCCATTATCATTATTAGCGTCATTACATGAGGACCTTACCAAAGATTCACCAATCAACGCTGTCCTGTGCTTGCTGCGACTGCGTCATGTCGGCGAACTTCGCAATCTCATCTTCCCACCTAACTTCCCACGTCCCCCTCACGCGCTCGCCTTCTCCTGGAATCCAGTATGTCACCCTCAATGACCAGTGGTTATCTGGCCTATCGACATGCCCAGTCCATGCCCATTTATTCGTGGTTTGGACAAACATGTACGTACCACTCAGCTTGTTACCTACCCACTCTGCTCTCGTTTACAGCAGCGTCCACATCCCTCGACATCCCACAATGCAGTGAAAGCACTGCTGTTCTTGAAAAAGACGGGTTTGTGTGAACGCCTCTGACTTGCGGTGAACTTCTACACGCTGCAGTGAAATTACTGTCAGTCTCTCCTTTTTTTCTTTTGCTTCTCTTCTTTCTTATCTTTCTAGTCTCCTTCCCTAATCCCCCAGTGTAGGGCAGCCTTTCGGGTGTCTTTCTGGTTAACCTCCCCGCCTTCAGTTTTTTGTTGCTTCCTTCCTTCCTTCTCTCGTTTAGTTCCCTGTCGGTGTAGAAACGAATAATTTTCTGAGCACACCAGCGCAGCGCTAGAACCTTAAATGAGAAACAATAAAGGTAAAACACAGGACTAAAAGGCGACGTTGAAGCTCTTTCGTCAGTGGTCTTCCCCTTTACGTTAGACGGCGCCCACGGGAACTGAAGATTTCCCAGGGTCAAGCATGATTCGTGGACAGGCCGTATAGCTTGTCCTCAGCAGTGCAGATCGCGTCGTTGCGACACTGCTCAGTGGTCCGGTCACGTCCACCCTCGTTCCTCTCTGACCGTCGCTTCCTTCGCGATACCTCCGGTGTGGACGTGCGCTGCCGCGTCCACGTGCCTCGAAGCGATAGCGGAGGTGACGAAAGCCCTTACAAATAAACGACCCTGTCCCGCCACGTAGCTGAGATCGCCTGGATGCGCGTTTCCCTTTTTTTTTCTGGTTCTATTCTCAGCGTTCTTTTTTCTGCGCTCTCTGGGGGAAAAGGACTGACGATGTCGGGGTCAGATGCCCAGCTACAAATAGAGCCGGGTGGAAGGGATTAGGGAAAGCTAGCGGAAAGAAATGCAAAAAATATCGTGCGAAGAACAGAGACGACAGGCTGCTTACGAAAGCAGTCGTTACCGCAGCGCTCAACGAGGGCTGTAACGTTCGCATCTCTAGTGCGGTTGGTAGTGGGTTCGATTCCCCGTGCCGTCGGGCGTGTGCTCACCCGTCTTTCCGACGGGGAGAGCGGTGCCCCGACATGGCTCTTGGTGACGTGGCCATTCACCACGGTGGTCGTTGTAGCTCTTTCACGAGATCTTGCTAGTGTTGCTTTGACGCGTGCCGTGTCTCCGTAAGGCCACAGTGTTCCTTTCATGGAAGCTTTGGGCCGGCATTGATGGTGAAAGTGTGCCGACTCATTGAAGCTACGCATTCATGGGACAATAGCTAGCCCTGGAACAACCATTAACTATATCATAGAGGTAGTTACTTCGGTAAAACCGAGAATGATGAATATCCATAAAGGAATAACTATCGTACGGTTCACATACGAGACAACGACTGGAACATCAACAAATAAAACAATCAATCAATTAATCAATCAATCAAATCATACCTTTGTCAGCGTCCTCGAGAGTTTTCCTCAGCGCCCGCGCTTGCTTCTTGGTTTCGAAGATGTACTCGTAGATGAGACCAGCCAGCAGGCCTCCTGATATCGGCCCGAACCAGTACACCTGCGCAGCAACAGTGCAGAGGAAGAGAAAATGACGGTGGTCGCACGAATGCACAACGAAAAGAAATAAAGTACTTGTACTCAGGTGACGGCTCTGTTAGATTTGAATTCACTTCGAGCGAACCAAATAATAAAGATGCAGCAGAGAAAAAAATTCTGTTAACGGGGATCCAGCATGTGGTAACTGAAAATATGCCTTAAATCAAACATCACGTCGCTAGGTACCTGCCACTTTAGTTGCACTTAGTGCCTTGTACTTTCATTCTATTAATATTGGGAACATTACAAACCTTAAGCATCTCATATTGTGAAGGCATACATTCATTGCTGCAAACGAAGCTCACCTCCTCTCATTTTTTTCCTATAAATCTTTTGAGTGCGGAGTTCTTACAAAAGCAACTCGACCAAGAAATCGCTGCATATACAGGCAGCACGTTACAACGTAAAAAAATAAAGAAAGGAAGAATAACCGAATAATAAAACAATAAACCCGAAGAGACAGCTCTCGTGCCACATTTGCAAAAGCGTCTGCAAACACGACACTATATCCACTGCCTTCCGCGAAAGCGCTTACGACACGTGTTTACAGACGCGAGCTTTTGAGAATGCGACTTTCATTGGACCGTTTCAGCTTTCGCAATCCGAGCCCCGAGTAGGCACGCTCCCCTTTCAAGTGTTTTCAGAAAACCGTGGCGTCAGCGTGGAACGGACTGCGCCTTCGCTTGCCGCGCTGCGTCAAAAGCAGCACGCAAGAAGGACACAGAGTTTCCTAAAATACTGTGAAGGAAACCGAGATGTTGAGTCAACAAGACTTTAGCAGGGCAGCATCGTAATTACTAATCACCATTATTTAAGCAGGGCCGTAGAATAATAATTATTATTGTACTGAAATCATAAGTAAATCTCTATATTTTTTTCAATGTTGTATCCCTAGGGTTCAGACCCCGCCACCAGTGTACTAGACATAGGAAAGAAGGCAGAGCATGAAAACGAACGAAGCAAAAATCAGTATCGAAACCACTCTTGCAGCTTCTTCAGGAAATTCATCTTTTTGTTTGTTTCTTTTGTTTTGTTTAAGTAAGGGTGCGTTAAGTTCTTGGTCTGACGTCAGCAGCACAAATGTGGTTATAGGAGCAGTCGTAGCCGTCTAACGAGCCGCTAGACTGGATGCACGTCTTCAGGTTTTCCACATTGTAGCAGAACTATATTCTCAACTATTCATACACTCTATTGTCACAGATTAATCTTACAGTACCCTGCTACATTTTTATGACTCTGGCTGAAGATTTGTTTGTTTTTTTACCTCACAATAAAGAATGTCCCTCCTTACAGTATAGAGTAGCAGACGAGAGCGAACTGTAGTTCATGTAAACCTCTCTACTTTTCTGTAAATGAATACCCTCTTTAGTTCCTCTTTTAGTCACACTACGTTATGGGGGCGCCACAGAGTAATGACGTCGTGAACGACGAAACTCGAGCGATCGGTCCAGTATACTGGACACTGGGCCCGTAGAACACCTGCTGGCCAAGCAAAGTACCCGCGCTTCAATCCTCACTCTAGCCCGGAAATTATTTTATTTTCATCTTTCTACATTAAACTATCTCTTACAAGATGATTTTTCGCTCACAACCAACGACGTCCACGCCGATAGCAACGCCGGAATATCCGCGAAACGAGCTCTTTAACGCTCTCGCGTTAATGGGCGGGTAATTAGCGAACTTGTGTAACGGTAGATACCACGCTAGTTTTGACCACGCACGGACGATTTCATAACACGCGGTCATGGCTGCACGCGTTTGTTTCTGTCTGTGTTGTTTGTCCACGTGAATGATGTTGCCAAAGCCACCAAAGTTAGAACAGGCGGCACCAAAATGTATGAAACACTGTTGCACTCAGGCACTGGAGAAAGGAAATATCAAAGAATTTGCCACATGTAGCTAGAGTAGATCTCGAAAGGGAAACGATGACACGAATGTATAAGTGTAATGTCTTAGCATAATGTGTTTCGAACATGCATAAAGACGATGTTAAATCCGCCTGTCCGGGTGCTTTCTAACTTCCCTAGTCAAGTAACTCATCAGGCTATTGAAAAAAAAAAACGGAAAGACGGGTTGTCTCTGGATTCAACGTTTTTGCAAGTGAACTTTTCTTCTTTCAAGGCTGTATGATTTCCACTTGTTGAAACGTCCGCTTCAAGGACAACCCGTATTCAAAAGCTCTTTGATCTCTTCAAGCTTCAATATTCTCCCGTAATTTGCTTCCTCTGGCTATTGGCTTACGTCTACATCGGCTATCCACAATTTTCGACCTTGAAGATTTGCATGTCTATCTGTCAGTAAGTATAAACTGCAAGTCTACGCACGATCATACTTGACTGTATGCCTAGGTGTATACAAGGCTTGAAGACTAGTTAACTTGTCCACAAGCTCGCTGGACTACTGTGAGTGACGCTTAATTCGTTAATGAAGGAGAAAAACATTAAACAGTAATGTTGGAGATAAAAAGTATTGAAACGGTGGAGGAGTGCACTGTAGAAAATAAAGTGGGGCAGGAGATCGGTAATGGCAACTGAGGTAGAGAAAGAGAAGAAGGAAGGGGGGTATGCGAAGCTAGCCCTGACCCCTGACGGAGTAAACACCGTGGTTTAGAGCGCGACCATGGGTCTTTGTTCTTAACAGCACGAAGACTATCTCGGTGAATACACCTTAACCTGAACACTCGCGAGGGATGGGAATTAAGAAGACCGAAACAGAAATGAAAATGGCTGGATAAAAAAAAAGTGATAAAAAGAACGTTCTGACTAGCGAAGAGGAGGATGCGCTTATTAACCATGACGAACGGCTTTGAAAATCCACGCGATTACATTCGAATCTTCCGGGAAGGCGAGTAGGACTAGACTACTGGCTTCCAGGTTCATTAGGTGCTAATTAGGGGAAGAGGGTAAACGCACGCCTGCCTCTTCTCGAACCACCTCTGCAATCTACAAAAAACTATTGACTGTGACACATACACTTTTAGCGGGACGGCTCAGTGCTCTTCCATAGTTGAGTACGAAGTACTTCAATTCGTTAAAAATTTTTTTCTATACACACAAAAACTAGGTATCTCCAATTGCCAGAATATCGTTCAGAACGAACGACGTAATTTTGGAACGAGTCACGCGTGTAGGGTAAGCCCCTAATTCCTCTAAAGCTATCATTACCGGCCACTGATTCGTTCGGCCAGAGTTGCTAATTCCTTGACCGTTCGCCAGAACGACGCCGAGCGGGAACGCATCTCGAAACCAAAGTTTGGCTCATTCACATTCTGCGTAAAACACAAATGAAGAGTGAAACAGTGGTAGTGTACGAAGCAACCTGCTCGTCAGAAGAGAGCTGGGAAGACGTCTGCCGTGTTTATGCTATGCAGATGTGTCTCTCAAACTGTATCCTACTACATCGTAAATAAGGCGAAAAAGAAAAAGAAACAAGGGGTCTGGGTATCCGTAAGCCGCCGGCACGAAGCAGGAACGCACCAGTCTTGCGTAACTCCAGAACTCGGACTTGCCATTCCCACCGCCCCCCTCTTCCTACCGTGATTAGGGAGAACAATAGTCCCTCACTCCTCACTGGATACTATTACCGTGCAGTACAGCATGCGTTAGAAAAAGTTAATGCAGCGACCTAGATATCATGCCCATGCACAAGGCGTTGCAATAGAAAAGAAAAAAAAAAGTTACTGTGTGTATAATAGCGACTTCGATATCACTGCGGCCGACCTCTCTGCCTACTAATAAAATCTCACTCGATATCATTGCGAATGTCCCGATCGACCTGCGCGCGGACGTGTTGTCCAAAAATACGTCCGTTTCCTCGTGAACGCCGGTCATTTTTGTGGACATTCACAAGGTCTAACGTCTCAAAATCAGCACCATTGCAAAGGGGTATTCCGAACTTCTCACGAACCGGGATTTATTTAGGCACAGCGAAATCTATGCAAACGAGACCTTTATATTGTGGACCGACCCAACTGTGAGAATGTAACTCACAACAACGCCCCCGTTAGCTCAACACCAAAGCACACAAACCACCACGGCGAAGCGTTAGGGACGCTGCATGGTACACTATAGCAAGATACAGACAGCCTCAGCTATACGTATGTACAAGAGGCCGGAGCACCCGGTCCAAGGGAGTGTGAATTCCAGGCGTACCAGCGTGCGTTTAAGTGCGTGCGATGGTGCCCTATTTAGGCGGCAATTAAGTGGAGAGGAGAGAAGGACGGGAAGCATCCTTATTAAACGGGACATTAGGAGACGCGCGAAAAAAAGGAAAATTGGGAGTGGGGAGCGGGAAGTTGCGGCGTGATCCTAGGCACGACGCCATCAAATTGCGCTCCCGCACTTTCGACGTTGCAGCAGCGAAGGAGAGGAAGAACATGAAAATGTTTCAAACTCACCCGCCTGCCCCTCCGCTTTCTACTTCATTATTTGGAGACCTCCCGAGCACAACCTCGTCGTAACACTACAGCACGTCTCTCAGGCCGCTATCCCCCTCCCCTTATACCAGCTCCCCCTTTCCGGCATTTACCCTCACATGGGAACACTAGCACGTCTGTGACGCATTCATTTTCCTCCTCCTCTTACATCCCTTTCCTTCTCTCCCATTTTCCTCTACCCCGGCCTGCCAACTATGCCGCCACCACACGCTCCAAGCGGGAACGCTTTCCACTTCGCCGCTCGTAAGACAGACTCGTTGAATAGTTTTGCGCGCGCGAGAAAACTCGGTAATTACGCGGGTACGGGGCGCGAAGGTTGCCCCGTTTCAACCGGCAGGCAGACACCGGTTTCACGTGGTTTTAGTAACAACCGTTCCGCTGTCTACGTGCGCGCAACTGTTCGCGGAAATTTACATTGCGAGCCGGTATATAAGGTGTAGTACTTTTAAGGGTCTCCCGGAAAATTACGCGAGCTAAAGCACTTGAAAGTTGTAGCACCGACCTCATTTGTTTTTGAGGTCATTACG